TCTTCAACCCATGATCCAAAATTGGGATGGGGACACACAATCAAACCAAGTGAACACAAACTGAATTATCAATACAATTTCAACTCAACAATGCCTGGAATCATCTCTTAAGGTCCATACGGTTTGTAATCAAGTAAATGTCATGTATCATGATGCTCGTCTTTACTACTTGATGTGAATATAATAGTGAGATCATGCTATTACCACCAATGAAACGAATGAAATGTGTATAAAGATTAGAAAGAACAACTTAATTAATAGATGATTCGCGTTGTGGTTCGTCCGGGTGGTCTCTACTAATGTCCCCCGGTTATATATCTCACTAATTGTCCTTCAACACCAAGTTATCCTCTAAGGATTATTAAAACAATGATCAATTTTTGGTTTCTCGAGGCTTTAGCCTAAATCAAATACACTATAAAACATGACATGCATAAGAAAAGATTTAGTTGACATAGAGTAAAAGATAAGTGTGTCTGATTGGATAACCCCAAACCTTACTAACACATCGTCCCCAGTGTATTTTTGGCATTTTTGAAAATATATAATATTAGGTTCGGCCCCTGCGCTTGGAAAGTGTGTGTTCCGCCCCTGCTCTATCAAATTAGTCCCTAAACATATGCAGTACCAGAATGTGCATCAGATTTTTCAACGAATTCAACTATATTTGCAAGAATATTTAATGGTTCACAACGGTAATAGCTGTTCATTTAAACAAAATAAATGTCATACTAATCACTTACCAATCGGAACGCTTTGATCATTTTCTTCATCATCGGAATTTGAATTCCGATCGTATTCGTATCCGATTTTAACTTTGTCATTTTCATTGTTATCAATATGATTTACAATAGTATTATCCATATTACTCGGACGATACGGAAAACTTTACATTTACAAAACGAATATCATTATATGTAGAACATCACTTGAAATCACGATCATGAACACAAATGAAGATAAAAATCAGAATTACCTAATGATCAATTAGAGGGATCTTTAAGATTTGCAACTCCCAATTAATTATTAGGGAGTTACATAAAGGTCAAATTACATAATCACCCTTGTATTTAATTTATAAGTTACATTTGAACATAAAGTAAAGAAAGAATATGATTAGTTAGTATATTTAACACAAATTTCTTGGTTAGTATTTGAACCAACCACTCTCTCTCTCTCTCTCTCTCTCTCTCTATATATATATATATATATATATATATCTGGCACTTGATTCCCAGCAGATAATGTCTTCAAATCTATAAGGGAAAAACAACGACAACAAGTTCCATATCATGCTTGGGATACTATCATTCATCATCTTTCAATTTTATTGAAGCGTAGGCAATAACTTTCCCACGTTGCATTAAAACACAGCCCAAACCCAACTTCGAAGCATCACTGTAAACCACAAGATCCTCTAAACCTTCTGGTAGAGATAAAATCGGCGCGTTGCACAATCTATCTTTAACAATTGGAAAGCTTTAGCTTGTGCTTCTTCCCATTTAAATTTCACATTCTTTTTCATTAACCTTGTTAGAGGCGTTGTGATACGAGAAAAAGGCTTGTATAAATTTTCTATAATATTCGTCCAAACCCAGAAAACTTTTGATTTTCGTTGGCGTTCATGGTGCTTCCCATTTTTTGATGCTTCAATTTTAACTGGATCTACTTTAACGTCTACTTTTGAGACCACATGTCCTAAGAATTGGACCTCCCTCAACCAAAATTCACATTTTGACAATTTGGCATATAACTTTTTTCCTTTTTCAAGAGTTCCAAATTATACGGAGATGATCTACATGTTCAACTTTTAGTCGGAAATATATAAGAATATCATTGATAAAGACAATAATAAATTTATTGAGATATTGATTACATACTCTGTTCATCAAATCCATGATTGTTGTTGGTGCATTTGTCATACCAAAAAGGCATCACTAGAAACTTGTGGTGCCTATATCTGGTACGGAAATTGGCCACATCTTCTTCTCGGGCTTTCAATTGATGATAATCTAACCGTAAGTAATCTTTGAAAAATAATTGGTCCCAACCAATTTATCAAACAAGTCCATTTATTCAATTCATGATAATCTATACACATTCTCATCGACCTATCATTTTTCTTTACAAACAAAACAGGAGCACCCCACGGAGACGTATTGGGTCTAATAACAGCCTTATCCAATAACTCTTTCAATTGAGTCATCAATTCTTTTAGTTCAAACGGAGCCAACCGGTATGGTGCACGAGCTACTTGAGCAGCTCCAGGTGTTAAATCAATCCAAAATTCTACTGATCGGTCTGTGGGTAGACTGGTTAAATTTTCTGAAAATACTTTCGGATAATCGCTAACCATTGGTATCGTTTTCATCTTACTATTTTCTTTCTTAGTATCGATCGCATATGCTAGAAAACTTTGACACCCTTTTTGTATAAATTTGCGGGCATTCAAAACAGAAATCAAAATAGTATAACGGTCTCGACAGTCATCGTATATCACAACCGGTCCCTAACCAAGTAGATCAATATGTATCATCTTTTTGTTTCACACTATGTTCACTTAATTCTTTGACAACCAATTTATGCCCACAACTACATTAAATTCTCTTAGGGGTATAGGAAACAATTGAAGCAATACTACACACCCCTCTACTTTAATTTGACAGTCCTTAAAGACTTTAGTGACAAATCTGACTATCATTAGCAGTATCTACCACTAAAACATAGTCTAAAGGTACAAGTTCAGCATATAATCAGATGCAAAAACTTTAAGACTCCCAATCACATATTCCCCTTCCCTTTACCTTCAAGATGTACCTGTCCTGAAATGCACAATTTTGAAAACAAAATAAATGTTAGACCATAAGGTCTAGTGAGTAATTTCCTGATAGCTTTACAAGGTAAAAATTCACTAATAGAATTTTAGAAAGTCAACAATTGAACAATAGTTTATCACACCATAAGGGTATGACAACTCAACTTATCTCACCAAGCATCGACATGAGACAGTCAAACTTATCGCATCACAAGGATGCAATAACCCAATTTGTCTCAACACACTAATGTGATAACTTCCTCTCATCGCATAATAAGGATGCAATAATACCAACTCATCACATCATACTGATGCAATGACCCATTTCACCGCATCAATTGATGCGACAACAACAACTTTTCGCACCAAGCTGGTGCAACAACATCAAGTCATCCTATCAAAAGGATGAGATAACATCAAACCCGTAAGATCAAATTTCATCTTTAAATCAAAAGATTGAGTATGCCGCCCTTATTCCAAGTATACCTCTCCAGATTATGCCACCCTTATCCCATTTTACACCTGTGGATCAACACCACCTCTCCTGATTATGCCACTCTTATCCCATAATACACCTCTCCTGCCAATATTTTGGTAAATCGATAACATTATCACAATTATAAAATACCATTTTAAATTCAAGTATGTTAACAATTAACATACCCATAACCACATAGAACCATAACCCGGATTACTTCTTAACAAAGCATTTCAGATTTAAATTTTAAATAAAAACTCACCTTGATCACAATCAGACATATACTTCTAGCTGGCAACAAATTCGGATATTGAACATGTAAACTTTTCTTCTTCTTCTTCTTCTGTTGTTCGAAATCAGGGACCAAATATCTTACCAACTCCTTATTCCTCTCCTTAACCCAAAACAAAAGAAAAATAAAAGAATATATATATATAAATGTTAACCCAAATTATAACGGTTGGATGTTCAAATAAACTAACATACCTTAAATACGTTACCATGGAATGCTAATAGAAGTTAACATGAAATGTTAATATAATTTAGCTTTAAATGTTGAATTCCCTTAACATATGTTAATATGTTAATACACATTAACATGAAAATGTTAACATAAGTTAACGCACTTCACCATTAAAATGTTGACAACTTTCACAAAATATATCCAACTCTACCAAATGCAAATAACCAAAAGATCAAAGTGATCAATAGTTGCACATAGTTCTTACGATTCTTACATAAGATAGAGATTTCTTATTGACACTCAATATAATTTCAAGTTAGAGGGAAGAAAACATGTTTGTCGCTATAAATAGTACTCGACTTAGATCTGTCAAAAAAATCTGATATTTGATTTAAACGTTTTGTGCATCCTTACTACCAACCATTACACACCACATGCCATGGTGGATGCATGTAGAGGCTAGGCGGCTCCAACCAATTTTCCCGACATAAGGAGAAAAAAAAATTTACAGTTCTTAAATGTGTCACCAGTATTATGATTCAGTGTGTGCCACAACAAGGCATTGTTGCTGGAAAATGAGAGGCTAAATAGCATAATGAAACCTTAACTATAAATCGAAACCACAAGGGTGGTGTCTGATTGGTTTAAGCTTGGCTCCAAATGTCAAAAGTACTAGGAGGTCACGGGTTCAAATTCAAGGAGGAATAAGAATCCCCTTATGGCCACGGAGGTTCAAATGCGGTGACTCCGGACTATCTGCAAAACAGGTGGTCGTCCTGAGATTAGTCAACTCGCATAACGAGTTTGATATCCAGGTTAATAAAAAAACTATAAATCGAAGAAATTAGATTTGATTTTTTAATATTTTATGTGAATTTGGTGACTGTAGTTAAACTTTATTTTATAATTTTTACTTTATTTTACACTTAGTAATATATAGTTTGTGTAAGCATTGAAAAAAATAAAATAGGATCCTCCTCCGCCACACGTTTTCTGTAAACCAAAATACAACTCAATAGTCAATAGACAATTCTAAACCTTGAGGGGTTGTCATGACATATATCAAAATTTACAAGCATAATTTGAATTTACTGAACCCAAAAGGGATCTTTTTGACTTAACCAAAACTTAAGGGGCATTATATTAATTGGTTGATATTATAGGGATCACAATTGAAACCTAATTCCCAATAAATACCTCTAGTCCCACCTTTATTCCTTGACCCATTCCCTGTTTTTCCTTAGACATTTGACAACGTTGCCGTGCTTCCAAAACTCACACACCCATTTCTCACCGCTCCCCCAACACACACGCACACAGACATACATATATGCATACATATATATATACACACACACACATGTATTTGTATATCTCTATATAAGCTTACACCTTTTCTAAGCTCAAATCTTTGTAGGGTTTTGGTACTAAAATAGGAAAGGATGAGTAAAGTAAGATCAAAAGAGTGGGTTAAATGCACAGTAATAGTGTGCATACTGTTGTTTCTAAAAACAGAAGGGTTGGAAGAGGTGGGGATAACCATCATTGAAAGTGGGGTTGCCAAAGGAGCAGGTACTTGATTTGCCTTTTGTATTTGGTATTTCTAATAATAGAAAGTAATATATATAGAAAGAAGTGATTAATTATGGGTTGTGTTGGAGGTGCAGTTTGTTTAGATGGAAGCCCACCAGCATACCAGCTTGCTAAAGGATTTGGAGATGGAGTTAACAATTGGTTGGTTCATATACAGGTTGCTTAATTATGGTCCTTCTCATCTTTGTGTGTGTTTGTTCAAATAGCCTAGACATTCTATTTCTAATAACGGAAAGTTCTAAACTTAGAAAGAACCTATGTGTATTTACTTGAAGTATAGGTGTATTCACATATGAATGATAATTTTTGTGTTTAAAAAAGATGATTAATTAACGATGATGACTAAAAAATGGTTATGTGTGAATTCCCGAATGAGTGGATTCAAGCTTACGAGTATGCATGTGCATATCTAATTAGACCACATATAGGTGGTACGTTTGTTGTTGTGAATGTATTTTGTTCTTTCTTTTTTCTTTTTTACTGAAAGAAGATTTTCACCATGAGATGGTCAAAATAAAAACTTTTGTATCAGGGGGGAGGATGGTGCAACACAGTAGAAGATTGCGTTTACAGGAAAACAATGGACAACGGATTAGGGTCATCCAAGTTGATGCCGATGTTGAACTTCACAGGGATTTTGAGCAATGAACAAGAACAGAATCCGAGTACAACCCAAATATCTACTTCTTTTGAAAATAAGAACCCATAATCAATATTAAGCTTTTCAATATATTGTTGTTCTTAACGAAGGATCGTTTTACTTTCAGACTTCTACAACTGGAATAGAGTCATCATGAGATACTGTGACGGTTCATCATTCACCGGAGATGTGGAAGAAGTCGATCCTGTAAGTCAATTAATATTTTTAAAGGCAAAGTTCTATAAAAGTTTAAATTAATTTGTCTCCCTTTGTATGTAGGCCACTAACCTTTACTTTAGAGGTGCAAGAGTCTTCAATGTTATAATTGAGGAGCTCATGAGCAAAGGAATGAATGATGCACAAAATGTAAGCCAACCCTTGTCTTCTTATTCTTAAAAAATAGTATATAAATACTGCTTATTTTATCAACAAACTAATGCGATATGCTGAAATCGATGTTATGGTTCTTTCTATGATATCGCACCAATTATAGTTGATTTGATAGTTTTTTTAGTTCATTATGCTAAGAAAAGATGTCAATAGGCTCTTTTATCTGGGTGTTCGGCTGGTGGGTTGGCTTCAATACTGCACTGTGACAAGTTTAAAGGATTCTTCCCATCAAGTACTAGAGTAAAATGCATTGCTGATGCCGGTTATTTTGCTCACGTGTAAGTTCATCATGTTTGTTTACTACGAACGTTCGTAATATTTCTGTTTCTTTGGTACAAACGGACCAATCAATTTGAAGTAATTCCATTATGCATGACTCTCTGACACATGCGAAACATAGTCTATAATGTGTGAAAGAGAACCAGTCATTAACGATAATCTAAGTGGTGTATTACATCAGATGAATGGTATTGCACATTATGTTGTAATGCAAATGTCAGTATAATTATTCTATAAACAGGATTCTAATTTATAATCCAAATTATATTTTCACAGGAAAGACCTATCCGGAGAGTACCGTTTTGAAAAATACTACAACGACGTCGTTACATTACATGTACTTTCTCTCTCCCTCTCTCTATCATGCATAGATCTTATCTTCCCCACACCTTATCATTAAATAAGATATACTGAGTTTGTTTGATTTGGTTTGGTTTATAGTTTACTTTATATATATTATAAACAAATAGTTGACTTGTTATGGTTGTAGGGATCGGCAAAATATTTACCATCCGGATGTACTTCAAATATGACACCTGGTTTAGTAAGCACCCTTATTCTTCTAATATGGTTGTTAATCGTTTTCCTTGTCATCTACCTTTCAAAAGCTACAAGCTTTTTGCCAAACTTTCAAAAGCACTCCGTTATTCTCCAAAACCTTTTCGCAATCATTTTTTTCGCAAGCTGGTTTTTTTTTTTTTTTTTTTTTTGCAGTAACAGACTTTGTGCTGCTCTTATGGTAGAGGAAAAGTCTATGTACATTCTATCCCCCAAACCCTACTTTTGAATAGGATATATCGAGTATATTTTATTGGGTTTGGTTTTGTGTTTTCCTTGTCATAGTTTGGTACGTATGATACTAATCGTCAAAATTCAAATGGCGTTGTAGTGCTTCTACCCACAATTCGTTGTGCCGTATATCAAGACACCTATCTTCATACTAAACTCGGCGTACGACACATGGCAGGTTTGTTTTCATGACTTCCATTCATGATATTAGAATCCTACATCGGCTAAACTTGGATCATTTCTCTTCTATATACGTTGAAACCTCTTTTATCTTCTCTACGGCTTTTTTGTAGAGTAATTAATATAGAGGTTTCACATATTCTCACAGATAGTACGTTATTTCTCATTAGCTTTCTCTAAATTAGCGTACATAATTATGATATAAGGTATACTACATCTTGTCATCAAACGAAGCCGATCCCCAAGGAAATTTCACCAAGTGTAAGATGGATTTGAATGAATGCTCCACACCTCAACTCCAAAGGTTCCAAGGTTAATTATCCCTGAAATTCTCTTATTGATTTAGCTATATATTATTAATCCGGTTTCATAAATTTCTCAAGAAACACAAAGGGTTAATTTAATGTGATTCATTCGGCAAAAACATGTGATTCTAGGATCCGAATGCCACTAAAGTTTTGTTGTTCTTTGTGTTCCAGATTTTAGGTCAGACTTTTTGTATTCAGTTTCAGCCATTGGCAATGATTCTTCCAATGGAATGTTTATAAACACTTGCTACACTCACTGCCAATCTGAATTCCAGCCAGCATGGTCTGGAAATGATGCTTCAAAACTGGACTACAAGGTAAAATATAATCTCATGTCTCTCCATGTCCACCAATCACGTGAAAACAAATCATCATTTCATTATGATTTGTGAGACAACAGGGGACATGAGAATTTTATTTCTTCACTTTGGGTATATATATGTGGAAGAAGTTAATTAATATTACTTTGTTATTTTTTTATCTAATAATGAGAGCTTTTGCAGACCATTTCAGAGGGAGTTGGTGACTGGTTTTACGAGAAAAGTGAGTTTCGAAAGATAGATGACGAGCATAAGTTGCCACATTACTGTTAGCTTTCGCTCAATTATCTCAAAGTATAGCATACGAAGATACAATAAAGTTAAGGACATTGTCTCTATGTACTTGTTGAAATAAGTTGTCCTTCGAATAAAATAAGCGGTAACTGCGCAACAGAATTCACCACAAAGTGTCACAATATTTTCGTCTTTCCTAAGAATAGGCATGACCTTTCATAAAAGAACACCTCAAATAGGCATCAATCTTAGGTCTTTCACACAAAATGTGTGACGCGCTGGCTTGATTTGTCAACGAGGCATCCTTAACAAGTTGTTTAACAAAAATACCTCTTCATAATACCAAAAATACCCTTTAACTATGGCAGAGTTTTAGAAGTAAAAGAAAAACTTGTGAACTAAATAAGTGTTGTCGGTCTCCTAATAGCAATCGTTAATCGACGACAGATAAAATTGAATTAGAATCCTATTAAGAAAACGTATTATTTTTAAATAATTGTAATATAAAATAATAATTTATTTTGGGTCCCTCCATTATTGTTTTGTCTTCGTACTTGCCTTGTGGAATTTTAGTTTACAACACGGACCATATTCCTGTGGTACCAAACTGATATTCGTCGGTGCACGTCATAGGTCAAATTTACTCGGTTTGCGAAATTAACAAAATTCATGTTCATTTAATTACACAATCCGACTTTTTCATATTAAATTCAATTAAAATAACAAATAACATCTTATTTATATCTATATCTATATCTATATGGTGATCAAAACCTAAAAGTATTAACTTCAAATATTTAAAACTTTAATGGTCAAAATATAAAAACTACAACGTTGAATGGAAAAACAAGAAACAAATTCTTGATCACGATGACAGAGGTCAAAAAGAAAGGGGGCCTCCTGACGCTAAAAGAGAAAGGAGGCAATAGACCTAGGGATAGTAAAAAAACCGAAATCGATGGTGAAAACCGAAACTTTCAGGTCGGGTTTGGGAAAATGTTATCGGGGACTGAGCGGGGACGGTGATCACCGGCCTGGCCCGGCCCAATATGTATATATATATATATATATATATATATTAATTTTAATTTATATACATACATACATACATATATATATATATATCATTACAAGAAAATAGTAAAATTAAAATTTAAAAAACTTTTATCAACTTTACCTCAACAACCCAAATAAAGCTCACGAAAAAGTCTAGTTTATTTGTCTAAAATCGTTATTTTAATTGTATGGTGTTTGAATTTCTGTTTAGTTTTATATTGTAATCTAATACATTGTTTGTAATTGATTGGATTATGTTTGAGACATTTAAACTTACATCATTAAGAAAATTGTAATTTAGTTTTAGTTGTGAAAATTAGCATAGTGTAATTTTTTTTCAGATCGGTTTCGGGTTCGGTTATAACTAACGGTGAAAAAGAAGATTTTTACCTTTAACGGGTTCTCCAACAGAGATCAGGAAAACCACAGAGACCCGATGGGAATCCTCGTTAAGATCCCCGACGGGGATCGGGACAGTTACGGGGACGGTTTTAACTATCAGTTTCGGAGACGGAGATACCAACACCCGGTCCGAACCCGACCCGTTACGATTCTAAATAGAACATAACAATCGGTGGAAATGAGGGTGAACATATATACCATAATTCTTGAGTGGCTTTTAGACATGTAATACATTTAAAAATAATAATATAAAATGGAGGTCACGGAATAAAAAAGAAATTTGTTATTTTGTGATTTTAATAATCACTAATTTTATCATATCATGTCGTACATAAATTATATTCTCTTTCTTACACATATTTTTCAACGACTTCAAATTATAATAATTATATAAGACTGATTTACACAATTTAATTACCTATTTTTAACTTATTCATTTAATTTATAACTTTTTAAGTTATAATATATATTTTTAAAATATACATTTACATATTTTCGTAACAAAGTATTTAAATTTTTTATTTAATTTAAATATATGTGATAATAACTCAAATAAAACACATTGATTATTGATATTAGCATAACTTGGATATCCAACGCATTTTGCAGATGGTCTGGAGTCACCGCATTTGAACCTCTGTGGCCACAAGGGGATTTTTATTTCTTCAAAAATTTGAACCTGAAACCTCTTGATACTTTTGACATTTGAAATTAAACTCAAATCAATCAGACACCATCTTATGATTACCATACTTAATTTTTTTTTTTGGTCATTGTCGTGGTCGAGCCACTTGCAGTTTTTTATAGCGACTATTTTGGTGATATATAATCACGTGACCCCCAAATTGGCTCACTTGCATGCCTACCCGATATTCTTGGCTACTTTTTGAGATAAATTATTAAAATCATTCAAACTTTATATTATTAAGATATTTGAAAACTATATATTATCTCGATTTTTTTTGGAAAATGATTTGGAAAATCTGTTGAAACAAAAATTCTCAAAATCCCCATTTTAAATAATCGATGTTTTTAACTTTTGAATGGTCATTGAGGTTTGTCTTTTGTTACGGTTTTAGTTATTGGTCTTAAATGTGTGTTAGTTGCAATGGTTAAGTGCCTTCAAGTGTTGGCACATGGGGCATTTGAGTGATTTTTACCTTTTATTGGTCTTAAACGTCTCTTAGTTGCAATCGTTAAGTGCTTTCAAGTGCCGGCACATGGGACATTTCAGTGATTTTTACCTTTACTTGTATTTTAAAAGTAGTGTTGTCTTTCAAGCTTATATTCAGTATTTCAAAAAAAAAAAAAACTCTCGTAAATCAACCATGCCCCAATCATCAGCACACTCTTACCGTCCCTCACGTCCATTTTTTTCACAATGAACTACCCGTCACTGCCCCTTACCTCCATTTTTGCAATGACCCCTCCCCTCACCTGTTACACTCTTATAATAGATGTAAATTTAAATCAAATGTCTAAATGGAAATAAAGCATATCAAATATAAAATCACCCAAAATGGGAAATTAAATATATATTAAAAGAGAAACCAAAGATTATGATTTAACAACATGAGGTTTAAGTATTCCTCATATCTTGAAACGTTAAAATGAAAATTAAAAAGTTAATTTGACTATATGAGTCATGTTTGTTCTCCCATATTTGGAGTAAATAGTTAACTTTTTTTATCATACAACTTAATTATTAGTTTTAGTATATATAATCATCAATATCTTTATATATATATATATATATATATATATTAGTTATATACTCGTGCAATGCAGCGGGAGCCATGAATTTTAACGATTTTGAAGTTCCAGTGATTTTATAAGATAAGATTTAACGATGATATAGGTTACACTTGGTCTTTACATATTAATACAATTTGAATAAATAAGAGTTATGGTTTCAATTACAGACTATCGATGAAAAAAATTGTATGACAGTTTAAAATCCAATATATTTAAAATCCAACATATTTAAATGACTTCACAAATGTGTTCGATTTACACCAAGAGCAAAGAACCAAGAAACTTGAGTTTTAAGATAAACACTCAAAACCAATAAAGAAAACTACAAATTTGACAGATCATAAGCAATGAAAAGACCAAAAAAGATGGGTTTTAGAATGAAATTTCAACTGCTTACACTCTTTCTTGTCTAGAAACTCAGATTAAGGTTGAATTAATACATGTATATATATATTTCAAAAAAACCCCAGAACATATTATACAGTGCAATTTGGACAGCCTAACCCCAAAATATATAGTATATATATAAATAAATAACTATAAAATATAAATCGTAAATATTAAAAATATTTTTTCACAGTATATATAATATATAATAATATATTTAAGTTAAAAACTATTCTATATTAGACTCATTTCGAAGGTATTAACGAGACGATTATAATGATGTAACTTGTTAAAATAAAATTGTAATTTTTAAATATGTTTTAATTGATATACGATTATGTATGTTAATTTGATAAAAGTTTAAAATGAAACATTTAAAAGTAAAGAAAGTAAAATAAATTAATTAATTAATTATGGGGGTATAAAATGTAAATTTAAAATTATAATTTTAAAAAAAATGGTTGTGAGATGATGAGCGTGTGAGGGGGTGAGTGTATGTGAGGAGAGGAGGTGAAAAAGTGACCTATGGATAGTATAAAGGGTATTTTGGTTATTTAATACTTTTGTTAAATTTGCTTAATAAGATACTTTAGATATATATATATATACTAGAAGCGTACTCGCGCAATGCAGCGAGATACATCGTGTTTTTAATATTTTATTTTATTTTTTATCTCAGTCGATGTTATAATATGGCTTTATGTGATTTTGAGAAAGCGATGATATTTTTATTTTTGAATAAAATATATGTTTGACGATATCATAAAA